CTTTTTTTTTTAATTCTAAATATATACGCGTGCTTATTATCATGCATAAATACAAGCATTTTGTGGTATATCTCTCAGTAAGTGGCATCAATAAGATTTACATTACTATTCTTCATATTGACAGATCAAAGAATGAATTGGAAAGAAAAAACGTTAAAAAAAATATGAGAAAAGAATGTTTCAGAATAAATTATTTAAAACAAACAATTATTCAAAAGAATATTTACATTAGGGACATCTCATTGGATTATGAAATCATTGAAAGAAAATACATACATATGTATGTAGCTGGAACTATACATGTGACAAATTAAACAGACTATACTTACATGGAATTCAGTCAGTCAGTCAGTTACAACGTAGGACCAGACACACACATGCATTGATCCAAGTTCCCACACCTCATAAGCACAACAAGATGAACACCGGATTCATAGAAGCAATTAAGTCAATGGTATAATATATAAAGGAAAGATTGCATATAAGGATATAATACAAGAAGATTTAGTTCGTAGAAAGAAAGATATGAAGTGATGTTAATCTCTTAGTTTAAGGGATGACAGAGAGTGTATACGCCTACTCCATTTTGATCGATTCTGAGCCATATCACCAAGAGTCTCTCACCATTGGTTACGACAGTCACACGGACCCCAACCGAGTAGTCTGTATCTACCAACATGGCTCAGACTAGAAGTTAGTGATTCTGTGGACTGATGCCACGTTTTGGTTTGGCCGCCCCTAACTTTCTTCCAACCATCTCCAACACCAGTTAGCATTGCACGTCGTGGTAATCGGTGTTCAGGCATACGCGACACGTGGCCCAAACATCTCAGTCAATGAAGATTTATAACCTCATCAACTGATTTACCATCATTACCTAATACCCTGCGTCTAACCTCAATTATTACTTACCCAGTGATCCTAGCAGACGCCCGCAATATTTCTAAGGCATCTGTGGTCAAATATTAGTAGCTTACGAGTATCTTCTACTCTTAATGGCCATGTTTCGCTGCCGTAAATTAAAACAGAACGGACTGCCGCGCACTATACTCGTCCTTTTATTGAAAGATGGATATCTCGCCTTCGTCATAGATGACATAAGTTGGCAAAAGTCAAACGAGCTTTTCGAATCCGTGCTGAGATTTCGTAAGACACTAACCCATTAGGGCTGATCAGACTTCCCAGATAAGTGAAGTTGTCAACACGTTCGACTACTTCACTCTCTATTCTTAGTTCAGATGTTGACGCAGACCAGTCCTGAAGCAACAACTTGCATTTCGAGGGAGAGAAGCGCATTCCAAACATTCTGGCATTGTTGCTCAGTGCTACCAGAAGACTTTGCATTTTGTCAGCGTCTTCACCAAACAGGACTATGTCATCTGCGTACTCTAAATCGATAAGTGGACCTCCTGGAAGGAGATCAACGCCCAAAACTTCAGACAGTGAGAACGTTATTTCCATCACCAGGTCTATGATGAAGTTAAACAAGAATGGAGAAAGTGAACAGCCTTGACGGACACCACTTGAGGTTGCAAAAGTAGATGACAGTTCGCCATAAGCTCTGACTCGACTAGTATTGTTCGAATAAAGAGCCTTCACAAGGTTTATGTACTTCTGAGGTACGCCTTTCAATGACAGACACTGACACAGAATCTCGCGGTCTACAAAGCCAAATGCTGCTTTTAGAAAACGATAGATGTGTGTTTGTATAAGAGATTAGTAATAATAATCATATGAACACCAGTGATTAATTCAAGAGGTAATTCCCAGAGTTTTAATGAATAGCTGCGACCAATGGGGTTCAACAATATCTGAGAGATTGTTGTATAATATCACGAATTGACTGAAGTTAAACAAGTAAACCATTGTGTGTCGAATCAACGCTCTAATAGGTTAAGTGCTAACCGTGACACTTGAAAGTCTTGGGTATAATCCCCGGCGGGGTTGTGGATGTCGATGGTTTATGAGTCTTATACTGAAACAACGCAGTAATCTAGTGCTCCCTAGTTTTCACAAGTACTTTAGCTAAGATCAGCCTGTAATGTCAGTTTAGAAATTTAAGATAAACTTAAACCTGTAAGTTTTAGTCTTCCAAAGCATACAATACATGTAAACTACTGGAGTTCGATTACATTAAAATAAGACATATTGGATGATCTTCCGCGTAGTATAGCGAAAATATGAACAATTAACTAAGTAGTTTGAAAATATCTGCCCCCAAATGCCCTGGTATGGCTGACAGTGGGGTGGGCCCGCCCTCCCTCTCAAAATGCTCTCACACGGCCACGCGTATACAGCCTCTGCCAAGGAAGTCCTACTCACTGACTTCTCGTGGCGGGGGTATTGTTCACAAAAATGAGAGGACGAAAAGCGAATGTTCGGCACTTTAACCGGATTTCAAACCAATGGTGCACATGGGCTCCACACACACAAATATGGTGTGGCGCATATATATTTGGTGCCCTCTTGTACCAATATTTATGTGTCGAAATAAAATAAAATAAAAATTGAAAATATCGTGTTAACTAAGAGGACTCCGGGTGTTGGATCAGACTCAGTCTACAGTCATAAGTGCACGTAAATAAGGAGTTTAAAAAAGGTAGAATGAAAGAACTGTCCAACGATTCTCAATTTTTTTCAAACAGTTCCTTATTTGAAGTTAGTCTGTAATAGAAACCAATCTTAAATTGAGCGATTCCCGTAGACAATCTAAATGTTTTCTATCGATTTGGCAACAATCTGATAATACATGTAAATTGGTGTGTGCTATGTGATTATTCTAATTTTCAAAGATAAACTATGTTAAGTCCATTAACAATCACCTCTGTATTGTGCATCAACGATCGCCAGATAAAGGGTGTTGACGAACATTCTAGTTTTGAATTCTTTTCACAAACTATTCTCAAGTGCTTGATCTAATTACAAAGCAGTCATTTTCTCTCATGGATCATCTGTCTAATTAACCGTTATCATTTGTTATAGTTTCTATTTATAACTATAATTGGACGATCGTCTGGCATGTGCATGCCGTGAAGATTGCCAAGTTATTTTCTTTGATCAAAAGCTTCTAATATACTTGGATTGTAGAAAGCAGTAAAAGTGATAAACGCGATTTCACCATATTAAGGAATTTACCAGTTAGATAAATCTGCATCCGAGTGTTGATATTCCCACTGAGATTCAAATTAACTATCTATTAAACTAGTAAAACGCTCTTCACTAAGCCTCTGGATTCCGATAGCCACTAACTTTTTCAAAGGATATTAAATTATTTATGAACATCGGCCAAAACTGTGCTACTTATACGGACAGGTATAAGTAGTGTGTTTTAGGAATAAGAAAACTTTTTACTGACAGAAAAGGAAAATGAAGCGAAGAGAAAGAAAAACAGAAACGGTCGGAGAAGCAATAGGAATAGAAGAACGATGGAGTTGATAAGAGACAATTCAAGGAAGAAGTCTAAATAATATGGTAAACATATTGTTTTCATATTTTACAAATGCAGTGTGTGATTTTGTGCGACATAATAAATTGGTTTGTACCATTCAAGTCTTCGTTCTTACGCAAGTACTATTAAGTCCCAAAAAAGGTGAAATGTGTTTTGGATTCTGCTGTTAGCTATCACCCAAGAATTTTCTCATACCAAATGTCATGAATTTATTCACATTAGGCCCCTCAACCAATGGTGCACATGGGAACAAATGGAGTATGAACCAATTATTGGTCACCGGCTACCATGAGGATGCATCTCCTGACGTTACTCCACTGCCTTTCGAATCAGACATTCAGGTGTGGTCCACTAAGAAAACTACCTGCTTCAGTCCAGGCATCCGGGCAGTATCACCCCGGTGCCTGAACCGAAATAAGTGGAGTAATGTTCGGAGCTGGGATTTAGTGATCAAAAGCCTAAAGCTCTTTAACCACAAAACTTAACTGGTTCATATTACACTAGAAAGATTGCCAGATTGAGGCAAAACCTTTCAAACACAATACAGAGTTGCGAATTGCAGGATATGTAAACATCTTGATAGAATATCTAAGAATGTTTAAGTTATATTTATCGTCATCCACTCAACTTAAGTTTTGCATAATAGTAAGTGATTGAAGACATTATTCTATTAATTATTTAAGTCGTATCATTTCTAAAAAACAACCTGGTAAACGAAAACAAAACAATATCTTTCATTTTACCAATAGAGATAAGCGACCCAAATGTTTATGAGGACTCTATTAGGCTGTAAAGTAATTTATTTTATTACAAACATGAAAAGCTATTGTCCATTGAACTCAGTTGGATTGCCTGTAGTTCTGGAGAAGCCTTGAATGCTTGACGAAACTACCAGATAGAAGACAAATGAAAAACTCGCTAACTAGTCACTTTTAGTTTTTCTAAAGAATGTGATTATTCGCCTCTGATTCATAGGACAACTGAAATCATCATATAATACCATCTGTTTCATTCTGTTATAAACAGATGGGATTCTTTCTTCAGTTCATCTCAGGCCACAGCTTTCTCCTTCTTCTATGTCAATTATTTTAGGTTGTTTTTCATTTCATTCCTCTTCGTTTTTTATTATGAAATTTGTGGTTATTTTGAAAAAAAAATAGTCACAATTATGCCTAACTGTACAGAATGTAAGTACATGTAAATTAGACAACCATCATTGCAACACCTATTGATGAACGGGTCAGGTGAAAAAGTGAGATCTGCGAAAAAAAGGCACATGATTGTTTTCCTCAGGCAGAGACAATATATAAGTGAATTTTGATTAATAAGCAGGGATTTCAACAACAACAACAACAACGACAAGGCTATTTCATGAACTACAACTAATTTAATATTCTAAAGATCTTTATATTTAATGGTTACTAATAAGTAGTATAAATCTACCAACTAATATTTTCATGATAAAATGAAGAACATTCCATCAAATAAAAACACAAACGATAATGATGATTATAGTGATGATAATAATAATAATAATGAAATATCTACTCACTCCACGTCGATAATCCAAAGCTTCATATACACTTATATCCAAATTTTGATAGGTTCGTGTAGCTGCCAAATTCTAAAAGTGTACACAACAAACACACACGCATAACACAATATTGAATTTATCAATCATAAAAAGGTAACAGGAATAGAGGTTAGTAATAAAATAAAATGTCTCAGAGTTAAGTTGTAAGTGATGAATTGACATTGGAACTACACTTTCAAACTTTACTTCATATATCCCAGTAAAAAGGTACTTGATCTTTAAGCTGAGTACACAAATATATTGATACTAAACATAGTATTATAACTATTATTAATGACTTTATTCAATACTACAAATTAGGCATATTATCAAATTCTCAGCACAAGGTATTTCAACAAGTTTCTTTTACACAAAAGAGAAGAAAAATACTGAAAAACACTGATATACAATGGTCTTGAGTGCTGTTAGAGGTATGAGGGCGGTTATCACTTCCCGGATGCCCACACCGTGGAAGGGTTCTTCTGGAGGTACCTGAAAAGAAAATTGGGTTAGGGCTAGTCTTAGTGACCTGAGAGCGTGACCACAGTGGCCAAGAGTCAACTGCTTGAGGTCGATCACACACGACCTTTTTATGGGTGATTTTTGTGTTAGCTCTGTACTTGTTGAGACCTTACCGCCGGGGACGGATATCCGTGGGATAAGGCGGGGTGTGCACTTTTAGGGTCGACCTTTTCTATAACCCCTGCTTGTGGGAAGGCAGCATCGCTGTCATGCTGTCTGAAGGAAACACCTTACTGCTGCCACACCTCTGTACAGTCAGCAGTACGACTTCGCCTTCGGACCTTGAGTTTGTTGCTTTTAGTCTTACCGCTCTTCAACCGACCTGTCTGATATGGTAGAACCTTGAGGAACGGTTGTTCCAACCAGTATAGCTCGGTTACTTCATTACGATAGGCAAGCCCGACCTCCACGTCAAAGTAGCAACAACGGTCGGGATGTTTATATGCTCATAGCTATTATAACAATTGAGTCAGACCAGAATGTTTTAAGACCTATGATTGTTAATGTGGTAGGTAACAAAAGACAACTTTTCAGACTAATAAAAGACACTGCAATTAAGAAGTGTAAGTGAGACGATCTCGGAAAAAGACGACACTTACCTGCTCCCAGTCCAGACGTTTAGAACGATGGGCGGAATACTTTAAGGAGCAGTCCAACTGGTCTTCAGCTACTCTACAACTACCCACCAATACCAAACAGCCTGAATGAAATATTGAAGTAGGTCCCTCGACTCTAATTGAAGTTCAGAAAGCTATAGCTAGTCTGAAATGAGGAAGAGCAGCTGGTCCAGATGGATTGACTCCAGAGGTCTTTAAGGATGGTGGTCCAATTTTAGAGATTAGGTTGACTAATAGTTTAGCTAAGATCTGGGAGAGTTAGACGTTATTCCATCTGACTGGTCACAATCACTCATCGTTCCAATATATAAGAGAGGTTTAAAATCATCCATAGAGGGATTAATTTAACTAACATAGTATCTAAAATACTAGCCTCGATAATTATCGAACGCCTAACCAAGACTCGTGAACTGCAAACACGAGAGAATCAAGCTGGCTTCAAATATGGTCGTGGCTGCGTTGACCACATATTCACCATTTGTCAGATCTTAGAACACAGAAATGCTTATCGGAGTCCGACAATGAATTGTGCCAACCGCGAAAAACATTACATCGACAAAGGGGATGCCCTCTTCATCTCCGCCTGCATGACACATCAATTAGCTGGTCAAACGCCATGACATATCCTCACTTATATCAATGCATGTGGACAACTGTGGACACATATTCGACCGGAAACATGTTGAGATCTTGGATAGAGGCAATTCTAAAAACACCAGAGAATTTTAGAAAGCTTGGCACTCAGGTCAATCGGCAATCAACAAACACATTGAAATCGATCCAATTTATCATCCAGTCAGAAAAATTATGCACCAATATAGGACCAAAAATCAAACCAATGGGAGATACAACCAAAATAAAGTAAACAGTGACATGTTTAAGGTCAACAAGAAACAATCAACATCGAGGTCGACAGGACAAACTGTAAATCATATGTGGAGAAATTCGAACACTTCTACCTGGAGTTTGTGCTGACGATATCGTTCAGAATAACGATGAAAGATCCACGATCAAACCATCCAGCTCAGAGAACAAAACTCCATAAAAATTTTAGGAACCCATCTCGATGTAAATCAATGTTGAATACATAATCTTAGTTGATATCAAATAGATATTTATGGATTATCTAAATTAATGTTTAAGTGTTCGCCACGGGATCTGGAAATTCAGGGTTCGATTCTCATGCGGGTAATAAGTGGGGAAATCTGAGGAATGTCATAGTAGAAAAAAAAACAACTGTCCACTAAATTCTAGTTTTCAATTATTGTTTAACTGAGATCAGTCTGTGATGTGAATTATATAGTCCAATAATCTCCACAAACCCTCAATACTAATAATAATCATATGCTAAGGAGTGAATAATTTCGGGGAATAGATTCAGAAGTCTTAATGAGAAGTTATGACCAGAAGAGTTACTCACCAATTATATCCGAATATGATTGAATAATATCGTACATTGATTGTGATTAGAAGTGTAAACCAATGGATGATAGATAACTCATTGTGAGATATGAAGTTCTTGTATTTGGTCCTCCGTAGGGTTGCAGATTTGCACTATTGAGTTCTTCAACTAGGACCAAACACTTGTCCAGTGAATCTTGAGTTTCAACAGTTAGCAGTTGATGATGCAAATTACCAGGATAAGTGACTAACCATATTAGTTCATCCAAAGTTAGATGTCCAGGCTGGTTTACACTAGTCGGCAATGAACGTGTATATCATTGCCTAACTAAACAATCAGAGACATTATAACTGAGCTACTCAGGTAGCGATCGATTCCCAGTAGAACTGAGATATTAACATGAATCGCTAATTGAGTGAGAATCAATTACACATTAAATATTCGAGGTGACTGATTGTATTCTATCAATAACTCATGCAATGTAACCACTTAACTATGTGAATCGACATTGCGGTGATATAGCCTATACTAACGAATAGTAACCAGCACGGAACATAGGTTCACAGCTGCTGACTGCCAAACACCATCTAACATAAAATATAGAGTTAGAACCTGATGTTTTCTATTTGAATGCTTAGATACGCAGAGATTACTTAGTTGCATCCTAGTTTACAGAAGTCGTTTCTACTCCTGAAACCCAAAGGGGAGAACAAAATATGTGAAGTATACGAAGGAGCTTAACTTAGAAAGTTAGTTTATGTATAGGAACCATGGGTGTTTATAGGAATACAAATGACGTTAAAATTCTATAACCTTTCGAAAATAAGCCCAAGTCGTTAAAAAAAGACAGAGATATCAAGTCTATAATCACGATATAAGGAACAGATTCAGTAAATTCCCATGTGTATTTTGGAAGTTTAGAAAAAGTGTATACTGGTCGAAAAACTTTTTGACGTTTTTCAGGCTTTAATAGGGTTTTCAAAGGAATTCTCAACGGTTCCTAACAGTGAACTTATGATAGCATTACAAACTTGATTGAAAGGATTCAATCAGCACTAACGGTTAAATAAAATATTATTTTTTTTAAAAAAACTTACAATTACATCAAATTTTGCATAAATATCAATTAATTGACCATCTTGATCGACAACAGGCAACGCTGAGACATCATACTCAATGAAATATTGTAAAGCTTTATGAACAGGACAATTTTGATTAACTACACATACATTTGTCATTGAGCCAACATTGACATCACATAGTTTCTTCGACATAAATGAAGGATAGGGAAGTTCAGAAAGCTGTAGGGATGGATCAATAAAAGTATAATTAATAAATGGTACGTATAATAAATAGTTTGAAAGTTTCGTAATTGGTGGCTATTAGTAGGAAGTCTCAGTAATTGAGCTCACTTTTTGTGCTAATTAGCTTATGTCTGGAAGGTGCACCTAGAACTTTGGAATGTACCTTACTCTCCATGAGTTTCAATTTATTATTACAACCAGAAGTTACCGCTAAGCTATCTAGGATGGGGAATGGTCGAGCGTGCATAACATGTATTCTAACCATCTTATTTGGTGAAGTTTCAGGCAAAAAACAAGTGAGATTTTTATGTCTGTACCAACAGTTCGTCAGCCGCCAATTCATCTGGGTAAATGAAATCTTCAAGTTAAGTAAAATGACTTGATATATTTATTGATAATTTGCTTCCGGCGGTTTACAACAGCTAGAACACATGTAGTGTATTAGTGTAGATGGCATCATAATACTTATGGAAACATATTATAACCATTTTAGTTAATAGCAAATTCACAATTAAGTTTGCTAATGTTTCATCACCAATACATTTATTCACATTCAGGAGTACCAAAAACTTATATCTGATAAGTTTATTACTCAAACTCTTGATAATAACTTTCTAGCCGCTTCCTTGATCTTCAGAATTACTCTATACTTGAGCCCCGAACAGCGGAGAACAGAAGCTTTATTTCAAGGTTAATTTACGTACGGAGAATAATAGTATCCATATGTTCACGGATAACCTTTAAATTTTGGAAACGCTGAATTTGGTAACAAAATAGATAGTTACTCAATCACAGTGTGACACATAATTCACCGTTTTCCCACAAGTTTCTAGGATGTTCTCGTTGGATGTTGAATAGACGGAATGGTTTCCGACTTTGTTACGTTTTCGGAAGACGTTTTTTGATGGCTCCAAACAATATCAACTGCAATTATGCCCCCGAATCTACCAAGTTTATTCCCAAATAGTATTTAATTATTTATTTGTTTATTTATTTGAACACATAAATATTGGTACAAGAGGGCACCAGATATATATGCGCCACACAATTGATAGAACAGAGTTTCCATCACAGGCAAGCTTCTCTACAAGTTGAAAGCTAAGGATATACAAATTGGGAATAAAAGACAGTGACGTAGTATATAAAATAAAAATAAAAATGAATATTGTCAAATGGATGAGTTGTCTGAATTTTAATTGGAACAAGAACAGTATTTCTAGTAAATAATGTCACTTCATTTTATTTGTGTGCGGGCTATGATACTGCCTGAGTACCCAAACCTAAGCAGGTGGTTTTCTTAGGAGGCCACACCCGGAGCCTTCGACCTAAAGGTCTAATTCACAAGGCAGTGGAGTAACGTAAGGAGATGCAGCCCCATGGTAGCCTCTGACCATCAATTGGTTCATACACCATTTGTTTCTTCAGGATACTGGAGCCCATGTGCACGATTGGTTTGGAATCAGGGTTCTCCAACTCCCCTAGGTGGACTCTCCGTATCCACCGGCCCGGTTAAAGTGCTGGACATTCGCTTTTCGTCCTCTCAATTTCGTGAACAACAGTAATGCCGTGAGAAAACAGTGAGTAGGACATCTCTGGGAGAGGCAGTATACGCGTGGCTGTGTGAGAGCAGTTCGAGAGGGAGAGCAGGCCTTCCCCACTCTTGGTCGTACCAGGACATTTGGGGTATACTTGAAACATACTACCCTTTATGATAAATTATTTAACATTCTAGATACAAACTATACTTAGATGAATAGTTGATGTATTCGACATTGTTACAAACATGACTGAAAGATAAATTTTAAAAATCATTATGGTAATTTGCTTAGTTAAAATGATGAAATTATCTTTTAAAAAAAGCACTGACTAAATCAGGCTAGAAGTGATGATTACAGTCGTAGTAGCACATGTAAATTATTCAAATAGTTTTATCTGGACAGTATGAATAGATCGATGATAGACAACTATACATTCAGTTTTCTGTATACTATAGACTAAAACAATTGGAGGATATGGTACTTTGAAGGAATAAATACATGCATAAACGTAGGCGTTCCAAAAAAGGAAAAAAGACGTTCATGTGGTTCGAGTTGCTTTTCTATCCTGCCAACTTTTGAAAGAATTGAAATGAAACAAGTAACATTTTAGGGAGAAATATCGATCACCAATGTTTCCTTATACTAATTACATAGAAATAATATCAAACAATATTGTGTACGGATTTACACAAATTAATACACTTCACTGATGAATAAAACGGATTTTGTGGTAGAATGATATATCTATTATATATCATGTAGTGTTTATTTTTAAATATTGGAACCTAACAACGAACAGAAGGAGATTGTACATATAATGCAGAATTGTTTATTATAATTATAGATTGAAAATGTTGGGCTCCCGAATCTCCTGGTACGGACGAGAGTGGGGGGAGTCAGCTCTCCCTCTCGAAATGCTCTCACATGGACACATGCATACAACCAATGACAGGGAAGTCCTACTCACTGCCTTCTCGAGGCATTACTGTTGTTTACGAAATTGAGAGGACGAAAAGCGAATGTCCAGCACTTTAACCGGGCCGGTGGACACAGTGAGTTCACCTAGGGGAGTTGGAGAACCCTGATTCCAAACCAATCGTGCACATGGGCTCCAGTATCCTGAAGAAACAAATGGTGTATGCCAGTTTTCACACAAATAGAATGATTTATGTAGCGCATACCTCTTTGTTGCCTCCTTGTACCAATGCTTATGTGTTTAAATAAATAAATAAATTAAAAATGTTGGCAGTTGGCTAATCATTCAATGATAGTTGTACTTGTTGTGAAACGTATACATTTTGAGTTGAATCCTATGTTGATTTGTGAAAGCATCTTGTTAAGTATTTACAACCTAAAATGAAATGTCTGGTCAGTTTTCTTTGTTCTACTCATTTTTCTCCAGGTGACATCTGGTCGTAATGAAAATCAACCCTGAATTTATATTTTGTTTATGACTAGTTTCTACTAGAAATTTAAGAATAGATTCTGCTTCCTGTAGATTTATGATGTGAGCTAAACATGAAACCAACCACAAACATTGTTCACTTTCTACATAACTTAGATTATAACGGCTGACTATTGTCGTCAGTGTTTCACCTACCAATTTACTATAATAGCCTGCTTAACAATGTGACATCAGTCTATGAAATCACTGATTGACTCATGCTTGTGGATTCAGACTACTACATGGTTCAAGACCACGTGATAACCGCGATCAGTGGTTGGAGACGTTGAGTGACATGGCTCAAGATTTGGAGGAGTGGTGAATATCTGCATCTTCCGTACATACTTTCTTTTCGAACTACATTCTCAATGTTTTATCGATCGCACTATGATTGCTACTTTAATTATTCGACTTATTTACTATTCATTTTGGGGAGCTGACGTAGTTTGACAACTTGGGTTGATACATCCAGGTGATCACAGTGATCAGTGATTCGCGGATATAGATAATGTGGCACAAAAATCAGTCATAGTGATATAATCCCATTCATTATCAATCGTCTTCACCCAAATGCTGAGTTAAATTGATTCCAATTCTTTTTTTAAAAATTTCTCATTGCTATGGCATTCTTTTGCCTATGAATTACGTCGTTGAGTGTAAATTGTACAATACAAGTGCATCATAATAGTAGTTTCTTTGAATAAGCTCCCAATATTCCGATATTAATGTTTATTTGAAGATAAAAATGATCGTTTTTGTAAGTGAAACATCGGTGAATGGTGATTCGACATCAAGAGAAAGGGTAAGTTCGTCATTTACATTTACTCCTTATATGTAATCAATGAATTCAAAAGTATCATGTAGGGAATGTATGCATATACGTTTGCTTACGAATTCTAGATCCACTAACCACTTTGCTATGGAGTAGTAGAGGAATTCGAATATATCAAGAATTGATCGGAGATGTAGGCCAGGGTTGAGTATTTTAGGCAAACCATATAATCGTGGTATTATTGATACTGTTGGCTTTAAGCGCTCATAGATACCTCCGTTAACTACATGAGCATTTTGTATTCTCTTCATTCAGTTACTTTTCGATCACGTAGGTCTTGTTCCTCTCATTGAAATTTTTTAGAGAATTCGGTGTTTTCAATGTCTCAATGGGTATATTTCGTTTACTGAGAAAAATTCCAAGAGCCCTTCGAAAGTAAAGGGACCTAATAGATTACTGCATTATTATGCCAAACGTGCTGAGGGGAATGCAAATTTTAACTTTCATGGTTGAAAATTGCTTCATCAAGCCACAAAAACCAACCTCCATAGCATTAAATCAAAAGCAGTCTAGTTTTATTTGTACCCACCACAGTAAAGAGTATATGTAAGACCTCCCGCCATTAGGACAATCATAGTATAATATAGGTTAGAACCAATCAAAAACCATGCTCTTAACTGAGATCTGCTTGCTTGCAAGTAGTGAAAGAAGCCAATGTTCAATCTAGGAACTCTTACTGATGATTACCAAAGCACGACATAACGCTAAATACATAAAGTACAACATTATATTATATTATCAGGATGTTTACATCTATTTTTAAGTTATAGACATTACTGACAATGATTTATCATCATTCTGTGATCAGATTTCATAATTAAAAAATGTAAAAATAATGCATCAACCAAATGGGCAGAATCTAGGACATCAGCTTTGGTATTTTCCCGTTATCGATGTTAAAGACAGTAAATGACCATTCACTACTGGGATATGAGGATACTGAAGGCATTGACTCGATATTGCCAATTAAAAACGTTAACCAAAGTTGAACAGTGACTATCAATAAAATCCAGAGCGTGTGTTTCGTCCTATTTAGAACTAGTCAGTTGGATGAACCCATATCTCAGTATTGAGGTTCGTAATGAAATCTAGGTAAATCAAGCTGATGAATCCTAAATGAATCCCACTGATAGTCACTACTAAACTTTGATAATGCTCTATTCATTTTACATTTTATAATTATGTATATTGTAAAATATAAAGTTATAGTAACAAGAACATTTTTTGCTATTCAAAAATTCTATACTCCAATGTATGCTACTTAATACATAATAAGTATGATATGAATATAAGCGTATTTAGAAAATCCTCCCAATCTATAGACAGCTTATATATGTATATCATAGATAGTTATACAAGTCGCATGATCAAGGTAATGTTATTTAATATATACTACCAAAAATAGATATAAAGTACGATGATTACATGAGTAAACAATTTTCAGTTAAAGTGTGTTTTGAAAGGAAAAAGACTAACGAATAGGATGTGGTAACATGTACGCTAACTTGAAGAGATGCGCTGTCTTTCGGTATAATCACAAAACTTAATGCAAAAGCTTTGAATATTAATTGTGCGTGTAAGAAGATTTAAAATGAGGATTCCTTTGATTGAGAAATCATTTAGAATCATGAAACAGAACAACAGTGGTGCCTACATCAGACTTCGTAAAGGATCAAACCCAAGGCCATCAACCTTTGAAGTAAAGGTATTACTTTTAGTTCGATGAGTTCCCAACCAATAACTTGTATTTCCCTCTTTCGTTAAGTCATAATATGGTGCCACAATCATCTATTAGTGACTAAAAGACGAACGTCTTAACTTTAAACCCCTACCTTACTTCAGTTTCAGTAAACGAGTCATATAATTTGTCTTCATGAAAACGATGTGAAGTAGCGCAGACTACATGTATTAACGCTTAATCGTTGAGAACAAGTTGTCTGTTTAAACAGCATGTAAGATACACTTTGAACCGAAGAGAACCTATATAGATTGTGTTCTTGATTCAACTGGTGTATCCTAAAATACATTATTCTTATCACCATACTTCATGACAAAACACCTTCACTTTATTTCCTGTTACACACATTTAATGGTATCATACTATAAATTAATGAAATAGGTAGATGTTAGCAATTCGAAGTCAGTACATAGTACAAGCGATCTTGGGGTTACGATTACAGAAATCTCACTTAACAATAATAATAATAATAATAAATATTACATCACTAGTGACCGACCTCTAGGACAGTTCATGAAGTTTTGGTAGAAAGTCAGGATCGAAAGACTTCAAGTAACACTGATATCAAAAATGATTGAAGTTGGAAACGTTGACTACTAGATTGTAACTCAATATTAGTTTGAGGGTTAATTGCTCGGGGCAACGTTCGAAGATCTTAGCTTCGATCCCTGAAATGGTTGCGTAAGAGGTGCTATACTAAGGAACCGATTTTTAATACTATACGAATTCCAATGTTGTTACTGAGATAAATCCAGGTCATGATGTGAATTATCCTCGAAAACTGATGATAAAACACACTTATCAAGTACAGATTAGCGTACTTGGGGATTCGATTCACACCTTATGTGTGAGAGCCAGTAATACTACCTACCTGAAAAAACTGAAATAGGTGAACAAGGACTCAAACCTGTGACTGGCTGAAAGTTAAAAGCATCAACCACCGACCCAAACCGATATAGTTACATCAAATTTTAACCTGAAATTACACATATGAGTAGATCATTGAGTCAGCATTTGCAGTCTTCCTATTCAAATCACTACATCTTAACAAAATAAGCACAGTAAGCAACTTCGAACTGATCACTGTAAATCTCCTATATTAATAAAAATGATATCAATAAGTATACTGGCACACGAAAAGAAAATGAAAACAACAAACAATGTAAAAGAAGGTAACATTTACTATTGACAATAACTTACATGAATATGTAAATATTTCAGTACACGTTTATGTGTTAATATGTGCAATGGATTTCCACTGATTGGATCAATTACAGGGAGACGATGAACTTTATGCCTGAGTAACATACGTACAGCATCTAATAAAGTACTTTCAGGTGTAATGAAAATTAATGAACGTTGATATTCTGTTAATTGTTCTATGAACATACACAAATATGTATCCACGTACACAGATATATGGTAACACGTAAACAAGAATAGAGGAAAGAGTAAACAAAAAATATATAATAAATAAGGTTTTAGACGTAAGTACAAAAAGAAAATAGGTTTACATCATTTTGATTTATTTATTTATTCAGTATGTTACTTAAATTTATATCAGTCAGTCAGTCAGTCAGTCAGTAACAACGTGGAACTTCGTACGTACGTACATCAGTTCGAGTTACTATACCATATTAGCACAGAGATGCAGTTATCGATTCAAATCCCGTAGTGGTAGAGGTAGTAAGAGTATAAACAGTAATCGGAAACAATAGGGTTTGAAGATGTTATTTAAAGAGTATAATCCAGTGAAATAAACTCGGGAAGAAAATAAAGGACATAAAGAATTCAGAAGATTAGAATTTAGGAGAGCACAAAGAGTGGATGCACCTGCGCCATTGCAAACGATTTTCAGTCATGTCATTCAAGGTCTCTAACCATCGGCTGCTATCGTCTCGCGGATCCCAACCAGGTAGTCTACACCTACCAACATGACTCAGTCCACTTGTCAGTGACTTCATGGATTTGTGCCATGTTTTGGTCTGGCCACCCCTAGATTTCTTCCAACCTACTCCTACACCAGAAAACATCGCACGTTTGGGCAGTCGGTGGTTGGGTTGGGCATACGTAACGTGTCCCAGCCATCCCAACTGATGAAGTTTTACTACTTCATCAATTGGTTTGCCATCCTCGAACCTTTCGAAAGAGTACAGATAAGACGATGTTGAAAACTTTGTACACGATAAAAGAAAAGTTTTCTGAAGTTTGAAATTCGAAAGATGATGATGATAACAATAAGACAAATAGCGAACAAGGTGGAAGTTTTATGTGTATAAATCCTTAATTAATCATACTTTTGAAAACTAACTCAGTAACCAGGTGATTATTTATGTATTCAACTATGTGCCACAAATTTTTGTGTATGAAAGCAAATATGATAGTACCAAGTTGCACAAATCAACTATCATTCAGTGGTTAGTAATTGAATAGTCAAACTGCTTAAATGATAAATTCACTTGGTGTTGTTTTACTTGTATCTTCGCATTGTTATTTAGGACTGCAATTGATTAGTCTCATGTTGGCATATGTGCATCCTGTGCGGATTGCCTCGATATAGCCTTAAGTCATAAGCTTTTTAAGCAAAGATGGATATTGGCTAGAAGTTGAATCAACATCAACTCTACGATGCAGATGCATCCAGCCGACGAGTCCCGAATGGGACGAGACGCACGTCCTGGATTCCACTGCTAGCCACTATCCATCTTTGCTTAAATTGCTTAAATAGTATTTCCAAATAAATGTAATTAGATATTCCTATGGTAAGTTAACAGGACAGAGTATTGACTATTGAATAATCTTATCAAATTCAAACTGGAGTAAAGGAATTAATCCATTTTTAACCAATCGGTGTTAATAGACAAAGTCAAGTGCTAGAACAGTTTTTTGTTGATTTTGAATAAACTTTAATGCTTTAAAGTTGTATCTTTCTTGTTCTATGTATTATAATATAGATTGTTCGCTCTCAACTATTGTTCTGATTTGAGAAAAGTCAAGTGTAATGCTGTTGCTCTAAAGAAATAGTAGACAATAAAAGAAAATCACAGGTTTAAAGAATATGACCTCGTCTCGAAACTTTAGTAAATGTTTAGTTTACATTTATTCATAAGGTCATATATTAAAATCCTGACTTATCCTACGATGTTAATCGGAAGCTAAGGTATGTCACTGATTAATTCACTTTAATAAATAAATCTCTATGCTTATTTATTTTATTTATTTAAACACATAAACATTGCTACAATGAGACACCAAATAGATACGCGTCACATAAATCATTCGATTTGTGTGAGGGCTGGGATACTGCCCGGGTGCCCAGACCGAATCAGGTGGTTTTCTTGGGGGCCACACCCCGAGCCATTGACCTAAAGGTCTGACCCACAAGGCAATGGAGCATCGTGAGGAGATGCAGTCCCATGATAGCCGGTGACCAACGATTGGTTCATACACCATTTGTTCCCGCAGGATACTGAAGCCCATGTGCACCATTGGTTTGAAATTCGGTTAAAGCGCCGGACACTCATTTTCGTAAACAACACCACCGCCACGAGAAGGCAGTGAGTAGGACTTCCCTGGCAGAGGCTGTATACGCGTGGCCGTGTGAGAGCATTTCGAGAAAGAGGGCGGGCCCACCCCACTCTAGGCCATACCAGGGCATTTGGGGGAAATCTCCATGTGATCATTTAGTAAAGTTTGATCCTAAATTAATGTGAATATTTATACATTTTTTTTCATATACGTAGACCATACAAAATGAACTTTTCATCATTCAATATATAAATTATCATTCAGATCGAAGGAATCCATATTACACAAAATGCAGAAAGCCATTTCAAGGTTACAGTGTAGAAAAGATGAAACAAAACAATATATTGATCATAAACAAATAACTTTTTTCTACTGAATAGTTATGTAATCCATTTAACTATTTGTTGCTATGCTTTATTTCAAAACTATTTAAATTAATTAAACAGTATGTTCTGAATTAATTTTAGTATAGTGTGATTTCTTCATTAAATAAAGTGTGTTTCTTTTATGGAACGTAGAGTGGTTATCTCTGGTTTTATAATTTGAAGTTCAGTTTGCGAATTGATCAACTAATCTATATACACAGTCCATTTAGGTAACAAGAATAAAAAGCGATTGAAGTACAAGAACATCTACCAAATAATGGTCAATATATTTTAAAATGAACACCTATTCTCTATTATAGTTGATAATTTAATGGTTAGGGTATGTGAATTTCAGCCAATAAGTTAAAAGTCTGAGTCCCAAACTTTATCTACTCCGGTTTCAGCAGCTAGGCAATATCATTAACTCTCACAATAGGAGTGTGGCTTGAAGTCAAGTTTACGAACTTGAATCGGGTTATTATTCATTTCATTAACCGGTAAGTGATGTAATAATAATAAAAACAATAATAACTAATATCCCACTGGCATAAGTGACTTGTTTGCTGGAGTATGAATAGGTTGAAAAAACTTAGAGGTAACCAAACCAAAGCCTATGATCAAACCATAAAATTATTGAGTGGTGGACTGAAACTTGATGATAGGTGGGGAGTATCGAACAGTGATCCGTGCATAGATTGTAACCAATGGTCGATATGGCTCAGAATCTATTCTAACGAACATACACAGTCATTCTTTGACCTTCCTTATAATTTTAGTCTTAAAATTACTTAATACTTTTCTTCTTCTGCAAATTCATTCGTTTTGTTTCCAAATTATTTTGTCTAATTGTAGTAATTACCACTACCATTAATACTGAAATGAAGAAGAAGAGTTGTATCTCAGGTCAATGCTTTTAGCACTGTTCAGTTCTCTAAGTTAGACAGTTTAAATGCCGAGCTGTCATTATCGTTTTGCACAATATTATTAACGTTTTATATAGAAGTGAGCTGCTTATTTATTCCACCAGCATTTGTTTTAATCATTTCATCTTGCTATACTGATAAGTTGTGACAATGTGAACTGATGCATCTATGTATCAGGTTCTACATTGCTTATGACTGAATGACAAGTGACTTGGACTGTTATCCATATTATATATAGATATAAGTAGATTAACTTATATACAGAATAATATGGAACAAAATTTTAATGATTAATTTTACAGATTAAGGTTAACTTTTCACTCGCGAAGAAAGAAAAACAAACATATAGAATATAAATAGTGAATTAAATGACCCAATTCAACTATATCACATTGAAACTTTAATCTTATGAATTTACATCAGAGAAAAAGGTAACTAATTTACAAACTACAGTAAATTTATTCCATGTCTATATATATACAGCAGGGATTCAAAAAGCTCGTTTGGCTTTTGCCAACTTACGTCACCTGTGGCAAAGGCGAGATATCCGTCTATCAATAAAAGGACGAGTATACTGCGCGGCAATCCGTTCTGTTTTACTTTACGGTAGCGAAACATAGCCATTAAGAGTAGAAGGCACTCGTAAGCTACTAGTATTTGACCACAGATGTCTTAGAAATATTGCTGACGTCTGCTGGGATCACCGGGTAAGTAATAGTGAGATTAGACGTAGGGTATTAGGGAATGATGGTAAATCATTTGATGAGGTTGTGAATCTTCACCGACTGAGATGGTTGGGCCACATGTTGCGTATACCTGAACACCGTTTACCCTGTTCATCTTGTTGTTGTAATGAGGTATGTCAACTTGGACCGATGCCTGGTTCTACGTTGTAGTTGACTGACTGATATATACAATGAAAAACTTTTTTTACATAATAAATTTACACCAATCAGTAATTACTTATTTCATTAACCGGTAAAAATAAACAAACTTCGTCGGTGATGTGAAGTATATTATATATTTATTTGAACACATAAAAATATTGGTACAAAAGGGGACACCGAATACATAAGTGTCAAACAAGTCATTTGGTTTGTGTGTGGACTGTGATATTTGCCGAGTGCTCAGACCGAAGTAGGCGATGTGAAGGGAAAGTGGTGTATTGTGTCTGTATTTTGTTTAAAACAAACAAGTGAATGTCCGTAATTTTTTTAAATATCTATTTCGAAATTAGATTAATTTGAAAAACTATTGAGATGATGATGGGTGTCAAATCAAGAAAGTTTACTATTGTTAAGTGATTCACAAAAATTTGAACATAATGAGAATAAGGATACTTCATTTAGTCTCTATGAAACCATTCATCCATCTCTGTCAGTGATAAATTTTCACCTCTGACTTGGTTGAATTCAGTTATTCATAGTATCTCGTACGAATTCTCGAATTAAGTCACTAATGAGTACGAAACTACTGAGAAATCGAATACTAGAACAAAAGATTTCCCCAGTACTTATTGTCCCGTGAAGATTATCTAGTTGAAGTCTGAAGATGATTTATAGT